CGTTTTAGGTAGGTGTGGCTGACTCTTAACTTTTATAAAGAATATCTCTTTGGTTTTGAGACTTTAGTCTTTGCAACTTTACAGATCTTCTTTATGCACCAAGAGCTTGTAACACTTCAAAGAGAAAGGAACAATTGAAATCGCATCATATGACCCCTTTAAGTGATCATTAATTGTGATGGTGTAAGTGCATATGCTAAGGGTTTTGGCCAGGGTTGCCAACCTTGATTACCTGGTTGGAGTGAGACTTTCTAGATGTCTGAATATATCACACACATATGATACTAGTATTATCTTTAAATTGTAACAGCACAACCTAATTAGACCCTACAATGCAAAAGAATCATCAGCAATAATAAAAAAAAAAAATTATATGAAAACATTGGACATTGTATGCTATTTTCAGTATTATATACAGTACATCTCATTAAACCTCAGTTGACCTTCATTTTCTCTCGTGTTTGATCTCGCGTTCCTAAAAGCTTATGTTGACATAGTAATAGCAACAGATACAGATTAAATTCAAGAAGAAAACTTTGTATTACTAAAATGAAATAGGAAGCCGCTAACAGACGCTCACATCCACATGGGTGCAACACTGATGCCTGCACTTCCAGGTCAAGAAACTGTCAATCAAAAAATCAGTAGCCAATGAGAACACACCGCTGCAAGCCCCGCCCCCATGAGAGATTTGTGCCAGAACGGCGAACAAAAACTTCAGAAGAGTAAATGAAAACTATGCGCATTTGTAAGTACAGATCAGCGAAAGAAAAAGGAGAAAACAGTTAGCAAAACATGCAGCGTATTAAAAACGAAGTCAAAGATTTTGCCTGTGATTTATTTTTTTCTGTTTCAAAGACATTTTATTCAGTTTCAATTTATATTTTCGTAAGATTCTTGACACACACACACAAAGCACTCACACAGAAAGTCAGCTGTCAGACAAAACCATAGAAACAGAAAGGAAACAGAGAAAACAATAAGCTTCAAACTAAAGGTCAAGGACAGCAGAACTGAAACATTACACTTACTCACTTGCTATCATAAATTCTTCCAGCATATCTTCTCCACCCCATCTCCCCGTAATGACATGTATATTAAGGCATAATTTTTATTAATGACATATAGAATTTTAAATATCAATACCGTAATATTTTTATGTTAAGCTAACTGAAAAAAATGTGCATTGTGTAAGGTGATATCAAATTTGGAGAAAAAAAAAATGTAATCACAGACTGATGGTGAGATCAGATCTTTGTGTGGACCGTCCGTCTGATGTTGATTTATTTCAATCAAAATTCACTTGTGTGATGTCATTTAGAAGAAAATCAGGCCAAAACAAAGTTCATTTGGGGCTCGTTTTGGGAGTTCGAAACAGCTTGCCTACCTGGTAAACACTTTTGTTCATTGTTCATTGAAGGACAGTCATAATGTTAGTTAAAATACAAAGTACAAATAAATCAACTGCTAATTTACCAGCATATTTTAACATGTGTTAAATCAACATGGACCAACATAAATCACCTTGCAGATATACTGAATCAGCAAAAAATCAAGATGTATAAAAATCTGTAAAAAAGTATTTATTAAATTAAATTTTAAATACAGTGTTTGATAATGCATACTATTAATTATGCCTAACCATTTCATGCATAAAAATATCTGGAAGCACATTCAGAATTTTATGAATACAAAAGTGATAGTGAAACTGAAAACAATTTTTTTCCCCCTAATAGTTAAAGGTAAAAACATTTTGTAGAATAGAAAATCTCAGGGTAACGCTTAAGCAGAGACAAACATTTTAAAACAAGTCATACAACATCTCCATGTGCTATTAAGATGCATTTGTCTGTGTGTGTGTGTGTGTGTGTGTGAGTAAAACATTCAGTCTGGATTGATCATATTACTCCCTCATAATAAGAATATATATATTTTTATATATAATAACACAATTTTGTCAATCCCTCAGTGAGCTCTTTAACTCGTTTTTTTCTATGTGCGCGCCAGCCGAGATGTTTGTATCTCAAATGCATCTCCTGTGAGCACTTATAATCAGATTTTGTCAAGACCCTTCTATTTTATTTTGTCACACCCTACATTACTTTCATGGGAGTGCAGAGCGGCGTGCCTAAATACAGTCTATCAGACAAACCCATGTTACCTGGCTTCCAAGCGTAAAGGACGCAAATGAAAAGGATAAAGATGACAGCTCTGAGTCTGATAGTACCACTTGTGATTGCATCATGAAAATGCATCTTAATACCAGGTTAAAACACTGGCCAAACAATATAGCAAAATAGTTATTACCTTACAAAAATGGGTTTGATAGAAAGCCTTGCTTGTTGTATGAACTATGTACAATTAAAAGGAAACACAGCCAACAAATTGATTGATAAATTTAAGGTTTGCATGTCATTTTCAGACAGCATCGCTTGCCGCAGGCTGCTCTTTGAATGTGTGCATGCTGCACGCTGGGATCTTGTTTGGCTGGAGAGTTTTACTGTAGTGGGAATGCCAGTCTCGTTCAAAGACAGCTTTCATCCGTTCAACTACAGTCGAGTTGTTCTGCTCCACCTGCTGACTGATCACCATCCCAACACCGGCGTTGTAGACAAACTCGTTGCCCACCCAGTTTAAATTCCCTGAGAGCCCAGAAACATGGTTTTAGGAGAAATTATTCAAACGTGTTTTATTTCCCCCCTCAATTCAATTCAAATCTCAATTCACTTAATATGATATCAGCAGCTTAATGAATGCAGAGGATGTTCTTACCTAGATACACAGATGTGTCTGTCACCATGTATCTGTTGTGATTGATTCCGTAGAGATATCCATTGCTCTGCATCTGAGGAATGAAGAACTTCTACAAGAAGAAGAACAGAGTACATATGTTGTCAGTTTCGGTATATGCACTCAGTACGAGTAACAGTAGTACAGCCATAGAGGCCATTTATAGCAAATGAAACAAAAGTTGATCATTCAAAATTGATCCATGCCTTAGATTACTTGATGTATCTGGCCATGAACACAAATGAAAAACGAACTGTAGCAAATCATACTGCTGGTACATCTGTTCAAATAAACCTCCTTTGACTTGCAGCACTTATCTTGTCTTAAATCAAGCTGTAAGCAGTGATCAGTTCCTCTGAATCATCCCAGTGACTTAATTTGATTCTAAAAAAGATGTATTCAGATTCATTCAGTGATTCGACTCTTTCTCGAGGCCAGTGGTCGTTAGCTCTGATCCGCACAGCTGCTCATTTAGCTGATGCTATCTGTGTCCTGACGGTATCACATTTTCATATCACAATAAATGCGGAAGCTATTATGGTACACACTTGAACAGAAAAGCAAGCTTCAGTGCTGCCCTTTAAATAACAAGTTTAATAGCATCCAAATAACAGCATTAAAAGCACAATAATGATACAATCATTTAAAGGGGACCTATTATGCCACTTTTTTACAAGATGTAATATAAGTCCCAGGTGGAATGTGTGTGGGGGGCTATGGATTTTTACCACAGTTGGGTGGTTGTGACACATAATTGTATTCAAAAACAATATTAAAAGTGAATTTTGCATAATAGATCCCCTTCAAATTCAACTCTTCAGCTCTATCTAAATATCTTTTCAAGGCTAGCATGTTTTAGCCCAGATTATGTGAACAAATAGTTATATGCAAAAGTTAAGTTTTGATATATTTATGGTAGGAGATTTACAAAATATCTTCATGGAACATGATCTTTACTTAATATCCTAATGATTTTTGGCATAAAAGAAAAATCTATAATTTTGAGCCATACAATGTATTGTTGGCTATTGCTACAAATATACCCCAGCGACTTAACACTGCTTTTGTGCTCCAGGGACACATGTTAGTTGGACAGTTTTCATTCACACTGTTATACAAATACAAAGTGCCAGTTATGCAGCATTCCCTCTCTCCCTTTCCTTCAGCTGCTCCTGTAAGGAGTCACCACACTGGAGTTATTGTCATTTGTGTAAGTGTGCATGTACGAGTGATCTGGCTCAGCGTGTGATGGGCGATTGGTGTGGGAGGGGAGTCAAGGGTAGTGAACATGGTAACAAGCCTTATTTTTGTGTGCCGTGTAGATTTGTGTGCTGTTTCCAGTATGGAGACTATTGATGTACTGAACCTGAAAACTCACTGTGTGCAGATGAATTGCATAATTATGTCTTTGGGAGGCTTTCAAACACATTAAATGCACAGATCCATGCTATTACTTATTTACATGTAATGTAGGGATTAGTAATTAAGTAATTATTAATCAATTAATAATAATTAATAATGAAGTAACACATTTGTTCACAGTTCTCTGGACTTGGTTAATGGTCACATGACATGCAGGTAAACAAAAAAACCTGCATATTTTTAGTAAGTGTTTTACTTGACTGTTGCTATTTTAAAATTACTTTAATTTTACATTTTTACGATTTAATTATTAGCTTTTCATTAAACTCACAAACCCCCTGCAGTTTCTTCTTGAACCCCGGTTTGGGAGACCTTGATATAATGTAATGTTTAATGCACTTCATGCTGCTAATAACAACAAATTATATATACTGTATATATATATATATAATGCACCACCTAGTGGATATTGTGTGAAGCACATCAAATGTATTTAAATTTTAAAAAGCATTCTGCTTATCCACAGGTTGCACAAGTAGGAAGTAGAAAATCCTCCAGGTATTGCTCAAATAATGTTTCATGAAAAGTAAGTATTCTGACATGCTATTGTTCACACGCACTGGTTTTCCTAGTCTATATTTTATGGAAGTGTGCTGTTTCGGACACAGCTATTGCTTGTTTGGTTGCTGAATAAATCAGCATTTTTGAATGACTTGTTTGATTCAATGCAGACCGACACAGATTGAGTCCCTGTAGAAATCCCCGCACAGATGCACTGACAGTCAGTCTCAAACAAACACAGACTAGCAGACTGATACAAACAATGGAAAGTCCCAGTGCTGTTGGTCTGTCACAACCAGATCAGATTTGAAGTTGGTTGTACAATTTTAAACAATGATCACAGGTGAATAACAGTGCAAGAACCTCAGCATGATAACATAAACAGCATAATTTAACATCCTGTGCACCCAATGTAGTCCGCTTTATCAGTCCCATGAAATAGCATTTCCAGTTTATTTGGATACAGTGAGATCAGACAAATCTCACGAAGACTATGATCAACATCACTGCTGCTGAAGCTTAAGGTTATTAAACCACCACCAAACATGCATTACATGAGACTTTACGCGGACACTGCCACTTTTATTCCGTGTGTGTCCAGCACATGACCATGAGAGCAGCATCTCTCTTTTGAAATATAACACATCTCACAGTAAGGCATTTGATCAAGTGTGAAGCAGGCAGGCAACAACCGGAACCTTGACCGATCGCAGCTGTCATGCTGTTCCAGAAGCTGCAGTCAATGATAAATGATTCTTGTTCATTTTCTGTGAGGATTTCATTGATTGAAAAGGATGTTAAAGGCAATGCAACCTTTAGTCAATGGAAACCTACATCTGTTAATCTATAATAGCAAATCTCTCTGCTATAAACAATGCTAAAAATGAACATAATTACTCATGCATTTCTAAGCCTGTCTCTCTCTGCTCTATTTATACTGTAGTGTGCCTATAGTAATAAACATATTAAACTTCATTAGAGTGGGACAAATCAAATGAAGGATCATCGTTCTGTACACCAGGACTTGTTTTCTGCTTCCACTATAATTCAGTTACATGAAAAAGCAAAACATCTCTAACTCAACTCACAGAAATGTATGCTTTTGCTTCAGTGTCATTCAGATGAAGTTGCAGGTTCTTGTCTTGGTTATACAGAGCTTTCAGTTTCTTGGACCAAATTGATGGCAAAAAGTCTTTATACTGCAGTTGCCGGTAGAGGTTGAATATCCTGTGCAGGTCCAACACCAGACATGTGCAGTTATAAATAATGATGCCAAACTCCTTCATCTGTGAAAATAACACATCACCAGACCAATGAATTAGTACTAAACATAATGAAGAACATGTCATATCACACAACTCCAACATAAAATTAATAATCAAATTGGTAAAGCAACAAGTAGTGGAGTGAACACAATAATCTCACTTTTGAAAAGAAGCATATTTATAAACTTGCATTTAAGAGTAGACTTGTTCTTTACCGTAGACAGTGACCTCCAATCCATGCCAGCACTTCCTATGTACATGTGTTTCCTGTCCACCACCCAGAAGGAGGAGTTGATGTGCCCTTTAGTGAGGGCTGTCATGTTCAGGTAATGCACCTCCGCACCTGGATGGTCAACGAACAAACAGTCAGTTATGAATCGCTGATAAATAAGTGGTTCTCAAATTGTTTAGACTAAGTGCTATCAAATGCATGTGTTCAATTAATGGTTGGAATTTGGAGGTGATAAAAGTATGTCAAGTACACCAAATGTTTTCAATCAATTTCTTAGCTGTTTTCACTGCAGGTTGTTGCACCATTATTTGTTTTAACTTTCTTGTTGAACTTGAATGAAAGATGTATGGTTGCATCCTGGTCTGTTATGGTAGCAACATTTACTGTGATTGGTTGCCTCACACGTCTGTCAGAAGACCTCGTCAATATATCTATTTCTTAACGACACACAGTGTGTTAACACGTAGGGCCACCAGTGTTAAGCTGGTCGGCAGGGTAGCCCAGGCACACATGCGGTTCACATGGCTCTTTGGAGCAGCAGCAGTATGTCTTGGTGATAGATCTGCTTGTTTTGGGGGTGTTTTGTCCTAACCTGTCCTGTTTTCGTTCTTTTTGTGTGTGTGGATATATGCATGTCAGCTGATGCAGCAGTTTATATTCTTACACTCAGCAGCATGCATATATTGGGTTGTATTATCCATTTCTGTGTCTCCTGCTTTGTTGGGTGGTTATTTCATATATGTTATAATGTGCAGCAGCAGTATTTCCTACATGCTCACAGCAGAATGTCTGTGGATGTACTGGCAGTAGCAAGACTGGATTTTCTCCTGATTCCTTGAGTCCTGCAGGATTCCAGCAGTCTTCCTGACTCCCCTACTCCTCCTCCATATTCCCCACTCATGTCCACTCCTATGTCCCATCTGGAGTCCCTGGGGTTTACTGTCTCCTCTGAGCCATAATTAGCTATACCAATTCACTTCCATTTCTCACTACTTCTCCCAAGCCTCCAGTAGTCCCAGTTTCCCTGCTTTGTCTCCTATCATTGCTCTCTAATCTTCTGTTCCTGAGTATCCAGTGGTCCTTCTTAGTTTTTCAGAATTCCTTCCAAAGCCTGTTGTCTTCAGCTATCTGTCTGAGCAGATGAGGGCCAGGGAGAATCTAAGCAGTAGGACAAAGCTCAATGAGGGTCTGCTGGGAACGTGGAGATGTGGATAAACCTGGGAGTGGACCTAAAAAGAGTAGGTATGTGTTTTCCCCCACTTTGGGGATGTCTTTTTTATTTATTGCTCTATTAAAATTTCTTGCAGGTTTACTTGGGTCACTGATTAGAGCAGGGGTGCCCAATGCTGTTCCTGGAGATCTACCCACCTGCAGACTTCAGGTTCATCTGTAATTATCAAGTGCTGCTGAAGAGATTATTTAGCTGGTTCAGGTGCGTTTGATCAGGGCCGGAGCTGATCTTTGCAGGACGGTAGATCTCCAGGAACAGGATTGGGCACCCCTGGATTAGAGTCTTCCCCACGAATCATGGAGTAACCTGTTATTAACGTTGTCAAATTCCTGTGCCTATGCTACTTTTCACTTGGTCCAAACACAAAGATTCTCACAAGATGGTTTTGTTGGACAGTGGATGCTAAATAATATTATATAGGCTACTTACCATTCTGAGAGAGTGCCTTGAGCTCTGAGGAATTACTTAGTTCACTGACCACCCTCAAACGGACTGACCGAGACTGCAGACGCATCAACTGATGGAGTAAGATCTGACCCTAAAGATGACAAAATAAACAGTTACATTTAAATGTGGTCATATTGGGACGAATCTATAGCTCTCTTTAAAAGAAACTCTTCTAGACTTAGTCAGCAGTTCTGTTACCTGCTTGGCCTGGGGAGGTTTTGACTCATACTCGGTAGAGTTCAGAGCCCACCATGGTGACACAATCTCAACAGATCGATGTGCTTGATCCAAAAGCTCACGGAGACCAGTGGCCAGTGAAACTGTGTCCTTATATGGAATGGACAGATCTTCTGGAATATTCTCCACAAGCACAACACTGTAAACACAAGACAATCCATATTCAATGATATAATGATAATATAATGATTAATATATATATATAATAATTTTCCCAGGTATGGAGATTTGCAACAATAAATGCTGTTGTTTGTCAGATGTTGACGCCAATATTTTAAAGATTCAGAGAATATGAATCACTGTGTAGCCAACTGAGAGTTCGGTTAGGATGACGATTTTTCGGTAATACTAAGGCACACTGTGTACATATTAGCATTTTTTAATTGTTTGCTTTTGGGATCTGAAGGAGCGTGTGTGTTCCCGGAAACGGTGACATGGGATACATCTGGATGGGGGTGCATAACTGATAAATTGCCTCTATGTGTACAAAAATGTCATTGTGACACCTCTTAGATTTTACAAGATTACAAAATTGCATACAGTTGTGTGTGTATGTATCATCCTGACAGTGATTCAGCACAAGAAATCTTTATCTGGCTGCAATAGACAGAATCAGATCACAAGACATGGAATACACAGATCAATAAGAGAAACAAAACACCTTGATGACAAGAGACAGCAGGCCTACAAACACAACAGAGAACAGCATATACTAATGGAAATAATGCAATAATAAGTACAATAAGAGAGTGAACAATGATTATGAATACACATACATACATACAGAAATGTATGTATATTATGGTGGCTTGCCAGCATTGCCTTAAGCATGTTTCCTGGTCACGTGGGCTCATGAAGCGAAGAAATCAGTTGCACCCATTCCCTATGTGGCATAATCCGGAGGAGCACAGCAGGCCTACAAACACAACAGAGAACAGCATATACTAATGGAAATAATGCAATAGTAAGTACAATAAGAGAGTGAACAATGATTATGAATACACACATACATACAGAAATGTATGTATATTATGGTGGCTTGCCAGCATTGCCTTAAGCATGTTTCCTGGTCACGTGGGCTCATGAAGCGAAGAAATCAGTTGCACCCATTCCCTATGTGGCATAATCCGGAGGAGAGATCCTAGGTAAGGTGGAGCCCCTGTAAAGTGAACATGTTCTCCTAAATGATGCTAATGTCTCAATGTTTTATCATGTCTAAATTAAAGTCTGATTTGAATCAAATTTGAAACAATGGTTACATGAAACATATTAAACACTTTGTTTTCAAACGTAGAAGTGAACTACATATTCTATTCCATCAAAAAAAAAAAACTTTTATATAAAAACTTATTATCATGGCTGTCTGACCCATAAGCTTCAAGAAAGGTATTTTACACATTTGTCTTCTCAACTTAAGAAAAATTGCACAGTAGATGCTAATGCAAAGAGAATTCACAGGAGAGTTGTGGTAGTCTAGTGGTTAAGGATGTTGGCTGTTAAAGGTCCCGGGTTCAATTCAGGAAATTAGATTTACTGAAGTCCCAGTTGTGCATTACCTCCAACACTCAAACTCGAACACTTAAAGCATCATTAGTGGCTCCAGAGGGATTTCACTTGTACTGAAAGTGGCCTCAGATGAGAAGTGCCTGCTAATGCTTTTTTCTTCTGCTAAAGCATGTAGATTAGATCATAGCTCCTATCCTGTTACAGTGCCTGTATATTGAGTCTGTGTAATAGAATATCTTAAAAGGACACATTACCCGCACCCTGTCCAACACTAAATAGCTCCAAATCAATACTCTCTCTAAATCATATCTTTACAAACCCCTATAATTAAGACCACACAAGTTAACCATTTGAAAAACAAACAAACAAATAAATAAAGGTTTGTGTGCAAGCTCACCTTTCTTACAAGATTTTCAGTGAGAATCAGTGCTTTTAGTGATAAACTACTTCCCTCGTGTTTAAAATTTAAAAACAAAACAATATGAAGGAACAATGTCAATCTTATGACAACGTATTCAGTATTGAACTTTACATAAAAAAATTACATTAAAAATGCATCACAAAAAATATGGCATTAGCTTGTCTGATAGCCTGATTCCTAATATGCTATGTAATTAGTAAACATCCTTCCAACACATTTTTCAATATTTCTCAAAATATCTTCCCATTAAAGTCTTTGTCATCTGTGTGATGGAGTGCCAGAGTGACGCTATGAACATCCTTTGGAATAATTATGCAGGCCTACATTTACATACTGTATATTCATTTAACAGACAGTTTTATCCAAAGTGACTTACAAATGAGGAACACCACAAGCAATTTAAGAGCCAACAATATTAGCAGTTCACAACATCAAGTAGATTAGTACACCGGCTAGAGCAGAAGACAAAGTGAACCAAAGGTGTTGTTTGTTGCAGTGGCAGTCCTGAACACATGAAACATGATGTGAATTTGCTGACCGCAGAGCAACTTGTTGAGTCACTGCATGCATTTGTGATGACAGAGAAAAAGTGCTGGGTGAGAAAGTGCAACACCTTTGCAGATGAATGCTTGGACAGCAAGGCAGGGCCGTGAAGGACAGTGGCATTTACAAGGAGCTGACCAACCTCTTCGGGTATTATTCATGGACAAAGACACAGCACACTGTAAGCATGTTTGAAGGTGCCATCATCTGCTTCTTCAGCTGACCTAGACCAACACAATGAACCGATCCATTTGAGCTCCGTTAGGCTTCTCATGCTCAAAGGTATTGCTGACCATCTCGGATGTTGTTCTTCAGTCTCTCTTTTCTGAAGTTTGTCAAACTGTGTATCTTTCTAAATTGCAACGAGGAAACATTCATTTTCTAAAATCAGGCATATTAAAAGTGAACTTAAAACAAAAAAATACATTGTGCATGAGTTTGTTATAACAGATAGTTTATATATATATAACAGATAGTTTATACGTATATCTGTTATTCAACTGACTGTATTATTTATATTCTGTATCCCAGTATTTTACCAATATATAAGGCCTGTGACTACATGAAATATTGGCCCAATTATTGATTTGCAACCGTGCCCATAATATAATTGTTAATATCAACAAGCAGTTTTCCAAAATTAGACAAAAAATTTGTATTTTCCTGTTCCTCATTAAATTTGTGCCACTGGACATATACATTATATTTTGTGTATTATTTACATATAATATACCCATAATATAAATACATAAATTAATAATACTAGCCAATTAATATCATATAATAATATAAAAATGTTGAGGACCATTCAAAATTAAATCAAATATTTAAGTGGCCATCCCATTCAATGCTCTCTAATTAGAAGAATGAAAGGTCAAAAGAATGTTTACCACATTTACACCACAATTAAATAATTTCTCATAGCCTTTACATAAATAAAACAAAATCAGACATGAAAACAAGTGGCATTTAGTGTTTCTACAGCTAGGTCCTTTGATGAGTAAGCTGTCTGCATCCAATAACAGACATAATTTCTTAATGATGTTCAGTTGGACTGGTCTTTATTTTGATGCAGATGCGATGAACCTGGCCTGCCATGGTGTGCATCTGAGGGGGTATTGAATGTCAAGCTGATATTGTCCTCTGAGAGTTTCCTTTTAAAGGGACAGTTCAGCCAAAATTACAAAATTCTGTCATCATTTTCTTGCCTTCAAGTTGCTCCAAAACCATAAAAACACAAAAAATGCTGGAGCTGTGCTTGCTGGAGATCAGTGTCCTTGGGTCTCATACATCTCTGGCAGGTGAGGGAGATCATCCAACCAGTGTTGCCTTTTTTGGGAAACGCATGGGGAAATATATCACCACAGAAGTATCTGTGCTTGAATAGATCTTGTAAGTTTCTCCTCACAGTGTCAACAGCTTCTTTAGTGAATGTGCCTGCATTGTCAGTGGCGGTTTTCATTAATGCAAAGCTTGCACTCCTAGAGGAACTGACTGCTGCAAAAAGATGGACCACCATCCAGTATTCTTGCACACTTTCTCAATGTCTGCCATCAGGGTTGCTGACAAAAAACATTGGAGAACACCCAAGAGAGTGCTTGTAAGGCAGTGTTACTCATTGCGCGGCTCGCCAAGCTTTACTTTGTGGCTCGCATGGCAGTAAATAATACGATGATATGATCATGCAGTCAATACAGATATTTCATAAAAATATTAAAAACAAGCAGGGCTATAACATAATCCATTAAAAAAACTCACACCATGTCTACACCGGACGCGAGTGGCGCGATCCGACAAACAAGTTAACCATTTGAAAAACAAACAAACAAACAAACAAATAAATAAAGGTTTGTGTGCAAGCTCACCTTTCTTACAAGATTTTCAGTGAGAATCAGTGCTTTTAGTGATAAACTGCTTCCCTCGTGTTTAAAATTTAAAAACAAAACAATATGAAGGAACAATGTCAATCTTATGACAACGTATTCAGTATTGAACTTTACATAAAAAAATTACATTAAAAATGCATCACAAAAAATATGGCATTAGCTTGTCTGATAGCCTGATTCCTAATATGCTATGTAATTAGTAAACATCCTTCCAACACATTTTTCAATATTTCTCAAAATATCTTCCCATTAAAGTCTTTGTCATCTGTGTGATGGAGTGCCAGAGTGACGCTATGAACATCCTTTGGAATAATTATGCAGGCCTACATTTACATACTGTATATTCATTTAACAGACAGTTTTATCCAAAGTGACTTACAAATGAGGAACACCACAAGCAATTTAAGAGCCAACAATATTAGCAGTTCACAACATCAAGTAGATTAGTACACCGGCTAGAGCAGAAGACAAAGTGAACCAAAGGTGTTGTTTGTTGCAGTGGCAGTCCTGAACACATGAAACATGATGTGAATTTGCTGACCGCAGAGCAACTTGTTGAGTCACTGCATGCATTTGTGATGACAGAGAAAAAGTGCTGGGTGAGAAAGTGCAACACCTTTGCAGATGAATGCTTGGACAGCAAGGCAGGGCCGTGAAGGACAGTGGCATTTACAAGGAGCTGACCAACCTCTTCGGGTATTATTCATGGACAAAGACACAGCACACTGTAAGCATGTTTGAAGGTGCCATCATCTGCTTCTTCAGCTGACCTAGACCAACACA